CTCAGCCAAGTTGACCACATAAACCAAGCAGGAGCCGGAGCCTGGGACGGAGGTCTTCATCAATTGTATGTTGGCAGGCGTAGGCCTGGGGAGGGGGAGCTGGCAGGGGTGGAGGCGAGGAAGCGCAGCAGCAGGCTTCGTGCAGAGAGAGCAGGTACCAACACTTCTGACTGAATGAAAACGTGGATGATTATTTTTTGTTTAGAACGTTCTTGAGTATCATTTACATGGCTATAAAACTCATCCATCTTTTTAATGTGCAATTGAGTGATTAGGCACAAAGCCACACAGCCATCACCATGGTCTTATTTTAAATCCGTTAAGTCCAGACAGAAAGCTGGTACCTTCTGCTGTCACTTCCCATTCCCACCTATTGGCAAATCTGAGATCTTCAGAGTCAGGGGAAAACTGCTCACCGTTGTCTTATGTGCTCAGAAGAAATGCTGGGGCTGGGGGTTCACGGGATGGTACCTGGCATTACCCAGACACTGTAGATTGGGGGGCGGGGTGGGAGAATGAGTCTGGAACCTAACGTTCTCCATGGAAGTTAGCCGTGGAGTGGGAGTGAACTCGCAGAGCTAGACGGCCTCTTCAGAACGACGAGCGAGCGCCTGATTCATTTTCTCCTGAATGACAAGATGGGTAACATGGCATTCATTGCACACGGGTTTCCGGTTTGCAGCAGTCTGTGTGTGAGGCGTGTGCACAGGTTGAATAAAACCCTGGGATCGTGGCTGCATTGGGGTTCTTCTGCCCTCTACAGGCAGCTCACTAGAAGAAGCAGGGGCTGCCAAGCAGCATGAAGCCCAGAAAGGTGGCCTTGAAAGCTTCTTTAAGCTCACGGGAGGTGCTTCATCTGGTGGTGGGCAGTCTCACCGTGGACAGGCTGCAGTGGGTAGATGGGCTCAGGGCCATAACCACGTAGTGTTTGTTGATAAAAACCACAGAGGCTAACAGCTTTAACTTGGATGCTCTAACTACCTACGTTTCTGGGCCTGTCACCCAGTTTAAAATGCACTGTTCACCCAAAACAAGCAACCACTTTGATGGGAACTAGGGGGATCAGAATGGAGACCCAAAGCCTGTCTAAACAATTGGACATCCCCTCACAAGGAAGGGACTAGCCAGAGTGCAGTACAGCACCGAGGAAACACACACCTTTCCTCTAGTTCTTTAATGCTTTCTGCCCCCCTCACCCGCCCGCCCCCCAAACTATCACGACCCCAATTCTACCTTACAAATCTGGCTAGACCAGAACATGTACACTGGCACAGATAAGAGCTCTGATCACATGGAATCCAGGACAGATAAGTCCCTTAGGGCCAATAATGGGAGTATCGACACCATGAGGGTAGGGGGAAGAACAGAAATATGAGTGAAGGGAGACAGCGGACGGTGTAAAATATGAAGATAGAAATAATTTATAAATTCTCAAGGGTTCACAAGGGTGGTTGGATGGGAGAGCGAGGGGGGGAAATGAGGAGTTGATACCAAGGGCTCAAGTAGAAAGAAAATGTTTTGGAAATGATGACAACAAATATATAAATGTACTTGATACAATTGATGTATGGATTGTTATAAGAGCTGTAAGAGCCCCCAATAAAATGACTTAAAAATTTTTAAAGGCAGTTCTTTTTATTTTACTGTGGGTTTTCCAACTCTGGAGATCGAATGGATGAATGAACTCATTGGGTTTGCTTGGCATTCTCTTAATGAGTAATGCTGTTGCGCGTCTCTGTGCTTACTGGCCCTTTGTATCTATGGTGACATATCTATTAGACTCTCTCTGGGAAGAAAAACAAATCAAAATCTGTCAGAGCAACTTATTTAAACTCTTTGAACCTCACTTAATTCTTCTGGAAAACAAGACTAATCGTCACACGCAGTTCCTAATGAGCAGGAATGAGATTCACGGTAAGGTCTGCAAGAGGCCTGGGGCTTGACAAATGAGAGCTTTCCTATTGCTGCACTTGCGCTCCTGTCCCCACAGAAATGAGCCTCCACGTCAGCTCTGATTCGGAGTGGGAGCTGGGCAGTCCTGCCTCTGAAGAATGAGAAGGCTCTCCTTTCTCCTGGGCAGAAGGACCCACCATAGCTCACATGTTCTGCCCAGCAATTCCACATGGCGTTGTTTGGAACCCACAGGAAATGTTCTATTGTCTTTGACACCCATCGTAACAATACAATGCCACAATCGTTGGGCAAGTTCTTTGTGACCACCGTAATGGATGATCAAAGCCAGCAGAAAAGTAAGAGTGCTGAAGGAGGGACGGTTGGTGTCAGAACAGGATCAGGAAGGGGGGAGGGGGGATCTCTCTGACCTCTACCTCACAGGACTCATCCCTGAATGCTCCTTCTCCTTAGTGTAGGCAGAGGTCAATTGTGCCCTCAGGCCAGTCCCAATGCCCTCGCAAAAAGAGCCTCTGCCCCTCAGGGCCACCGAAGATGACCTAGATAGAACAGAATGCACTTTTTTTTTAAACATTAGGGGCTCATATAACTGTTACCGCAATCCATACACACATCAATTGTGTAAAGCGCATTTGTACATCATTCTCAAAACATTTTCTCTCCACTTAAACCCCCAACATTAGGTCATTTTCCCCTCCCTCCCCGCTCCCCCATGAGCCCTTGATAGTTTATAAATTGGTATTTTGTCATATCTTGCCCTGTCCAACGTCTCCCTTCACCCACTTTTCGGTCGTCTGTCCCCCAGGGAGGAGGTCATATATAGTTCCTTGTAATCGGTTCCCTCTTTCCTACCCATTCTCCCTTTACCCTCCCTGTTTTGCCACTCACACCACTGGTCCTGTACGGCTCATCTGCCCTGGATTCCCCGTATTTTCAGTTCCTATCTGTACCAGTGTACATCCTCTGGTCTAGCCAGACTTGCAAGATAGAATTCGAGTCATGGTAGTGGGAGCAGGGAGGAAATATTTAGGAATTAGAGGAAAGTTGTATTTCTCGTCGTTGTTACATCGCACCCTGACTGGCTCATCTCCTCCCCCAGACCCCTCTGCAAGGGGATCTCCAGTGGCCTACTAATGGGCTTTGGATCTCCACTCCGCACTCCCCCCATCATTCACTATGGTACAGAATGCACATTCTGTGTGTGTGTGTGTGTGTGCTAAAGATAATAGTTGATAAACATTTTACAGGTCCATAATTCAGCTGCATTCAACTAGGTTCTTCTGATTGTGTCTAGTCACTCCGGTGGCATCAGTCATCCGGCAAAACGTCTGAGGCCAAAGTTCCCCAGAGCCACGCTCAAAGGCTGAGCAATGGATGCTTGTCGACAGCTGGTCCAGGTCCCTAGTCTGCTATCTCAGGGCTTCAGGTACAGTTCACTGGGCGGAAGAAAAGTTCCAATGTAGACTGGTGAGGTGACTCTGTTAGCACTCAAATTGTTCACAAGCCCAGGCTTCCTGGACCAGTGGAGATGGGAGGACCCCGAGGGCTCAATGCGATACTATTTAAACCTTGGACCGAAACAAACTGATTTCACCTTCAAGGGGAGCAACAGATGGATCCACAAATTGATGATGGCGCTCTTAAACATTAACAAACCAGCTCTGTGAGACCAAAGATGAACGAGTCTGAAGCAAAGATGACCAGGGGGACCGAGAAACTAGAGGACTGGCGGCAGAGCAAGCAGAACACAATGAATGAGAAGGCCGGCCCACTGTGAAGAACGTCACTGAACATGACTGAAGTGCAGAGGGTTCGACGGGAACCTCATGTGAGGGGCACTTTCACCAGAGACAAGACTCTCGGAAAAAAATAAAACCCACCCACACTCAGACAGACCGAGAGCTCCTAGAGACAGGGTGTGCAGCAGGCCCACAGGGAAGGCCTTGGGCTCCGTCTGGTTTTGTGGACAGAATACCTAGCCCCACCTTCTGGAAGGCAGGGAGCTGGTGCCTATGAGCACAGGTGGCCCTGCCAGCAACCATCAGCACAGCAGGGAGCGGTTTGTCCACCCCCAGGCCTGGGCACCTTCTATCCAGTGAGGAAAGGCAGCGCTTCAGCCTCCAAGGGCAGAGAGGAGGGTCTGAAGGGCAGCAAGGTGCTGCCCAGCTAGGGGGTTAACAAAGCAGGCCAACCCTTGTGCCTGGGCTGCTGCCCCCCCGCACCCCCAGCAATGTGACTCTCCCCTGCCATTAGCGTGGTCCCTTTACAAACATCACTGCCCGCTATACTCTCCTCTACCTTCTTTGCTCGCCTGCTCGTCCTCGCCCACCATGGCCACCATGGCGCCTGGTGGACAGCAGAGGCTGTGATGAACACATGAAGGAACTAGCAGTGGGAATGGCTCTTGGACAAACGGGAGCAATGGCTAAGCCTAACCGTGTCATCACTGGGGATGGCAAAACCCTCACCGTGAAAACGGGGAGCGCTTTGAAAACCACACCGTTTTCTTGTAAGCTGGGAGAAAAGTTTGAAGAAACCACAGCTGACGGCAGGAAAACTCAGACTGTCTGCGACTTCAGATGGTGCTTTGGTCCAACACCGGGATTGGGATGGGAAGGAGAGCACAGTAACAAGAAAACTGGAAAATGGAAAACTAGTGGTGGAATGCGTTATGAACAATGTCACCTGTACTCGGACCTATGACAAAGTACAATAAAAATTCCATCATCTCCGTGAGAAGGAACAAGCTCAGTTCAATAAGCAAATCTCCGTACTGCTTTGTTTGTTGTTGTTATTATATTCCATTACTTCGAGCACACACATTTTACATGCAACTATTTCAAAGTGTTGTTTGATTAGGATCATCTCTTTGATGAATAAATGCATATGTTTGTGCTAAAAAACAAAAAACACACAACTGCTAGGCAGAGGCGGGGGTAGTGGGGGGAGAAACAAAACCATCCTTACACCCCAAACTAGTCCTTTGTTTCCTCTCACCCCCACTTCCTGCTGAGATCATGTGCCCCTCAGAGAAGCAGGGACAACCTGAGAAGAGCCTCTGGAGTTCTCTGGAATGATGACTTAAGAAAGAAAAGCAATACAACTTTATCAACACAGGGAACACTAGCGGCTCTGAAAAGCACTTATTAAAATAGTGCATCTGTGGAGCCAGGGAAACATACATACAGGTCTAGTCTGACTGAGGACATTTCTGGGGAACTGTGAAATTCTAAGCCGCTTGCTTCTTCTCCCTTTAGGACTGCCAAGAGGAAAATCCATTCGTGTTTTTCTCTTTCACCTTATTTAACAGGGAAGCTGCCCGTCCCAGGCTCATGTCCCCAGGTGAATGGTCCTCCTCAGACTGCCAGGTCTGGCTGGGGCTGAAGGCCAGGCCCTTGCTGCCCCCCCCACCTCCCGTGGGAGGAGAGCAGGGCGGGCTGGTTTCTAGCACAGCCCACAGAACAGCTTCTCATTCCGGACAGGCGAGGTTCCAAACGCTGCCTGTTCTGCCTGCACTGACCTGCACACATTTGAAGATGTTTATCACAAAGCCATGGAAGCGACCTGTGGCTGCTTCAGCCTGCAGAGCTCTGGGATCAGGCCCTGGAGCCCCAGCAGGGGAGAGGTCATGCTAGTCCTTCTTGCCTCCCGGGGCTGGGCTTCTCGTGAGGAGCATGCTCGGGTTGGACGCGGCCAATGTGGACACCGTGGGTGATTCCAGCTTCACTCTGTCCAGGAGAGTCTTCTTCACGGCTGCCGTGGGGATCTTTTCTTGGTCAGCCATGCACTGCAGCTCTCTGCAGGGATGAAGTGGGGAGGCAGTAAAGCCTAGGGGCCTGGGCTTCCTGAAGCTTCCACACCCACACACCCAAGCTGACACCACTAAACATTAGAATCTCAAACCAAACACTCTCTCGCCAAGTTACATAGAAGTGTTAGTTAACGGTGCATCCCAAAACCTCAAACTCACTGCCAGTGAGTCCATACCAACTTGTCATCACCCTACAGGACGTAGCAGAACTGCCCTTCTGGGCTTCTGAACTTGCAGATCTTTACAGGAGTATTTGAAAGCCTTTGTCTTTCTCTTATAGAGTGGCTGTTGGATTCAAACAGCTGACCTCGTGGTTAGCAGCCCAACCTGCAACCCACTACACCAGCAGGGCTCCTAGTTAACCATGCATAGGTTCTATTTGTCTTGTTTGGTGTGAGCTTGCTTTACAACTCCAAAGGGTATCTATGGTCATAGGGGAGAGAGTATGGGAAGCCAGCAGCATTGGAGTCCCAGACTCCAGGTTGACTCTATCATTGATTAGTTTGACCTTGAGCAAATGACCTGTCCCTAAGCCTTCACTTCTCTTGAGTCTGGTGTACTGTGGGGGCTTGCATGTTGCTGTGATGCTGGAAGCTCTGGCACCGGTATTTCAAATGCCAGGAGAGTCACCCGAGGCGAATAGGTTTCAGTGGTTCCAGACTAAGAATAGGCTACAGGAAACACAGGCTGCCTCTTCCTGAGGGATCAGCCACGGAAGCCCTTATGAATGGCAGGCGAGCACTGACGGATAGTGCCAGAAGATGAGGCGCTCAGAACGAAACTGGAGCTGGATCCAAGGAGCTGGATCGACAGGGTGGCTGCAATGACGGGCTCAAACAACACAATTCTCTTGTGGACACAGGGCCGCTATGGGTTAGAATGGGATGGACGGCACCTGTGAACAACGGGCCTCAACATCCTTTATGAATCAAAGCTAATCCCAGCCATAAGAATTTGTGGAGAACGAAATGAAACAATGTCTCCAAACCCTTAGCTCAACAGCGTTGAATACATGGTGCTCATTAGCTTCAACCGAGACCCCAGCACTGCTCATGGGGCTCTTAGGACAGCACCCAGCCCCGCCTGGGGGCTGGTGGGAGCCCAGGGCCTAGGGTGGGGAAGGCGAGCGAGGAGGACCCACCGTGTTCGGATGCAGGAGGCCTCAACTGCATTGATGAGCAGGGACCGGAAGCCCCCGCTCTCCAGGAAGTGCAGGGCATGGATGGTGGCCCCTCCCGGGGAGCAGACATTGTCTTTGAGCTGGCCCGGGTGCTGCTCCGAGTCCAGCAGCATCTTGGCAGCTCCCTGGTGCAGAAGTGAGCATAGGAGAAGGCGGCTGCGGCACCCTGGCACACGCTGCCCCAAGTCCCAAGCCCCGAGCCCCAGCTCAGTGGCCCTCCCTCAGAACCCCTGTTGCCCACCTGGACCATGTGGGGGAGATACTAACCAGCAAGGCCTGGGCCCCCAGTCGAACTGCCAGGCGCCGAGGAAGGCCCATTTTCACCCCACCGTCAGCCAACGCCTCCAGGGCCATGAATGCCTGTGGGAACATTCGATGAACGTTCAGGCAGCAGGCCAGAGAAGGCACCAGCTTCCTCCAGAGGTGAGTGAGCCCCAGCCTGGCCTGCTTGGCAGCCGACCTGCTTCCACGGGCTCCCAGGAAGGGGGAGAATATAGGGGTCTTACGTAAGCAGGACCGCTGCCACTGAGCCCCGTGACGGCGTCAATCAGGTCCTCCTCCACTTCAGTGCAGAAGCCCACGCTGCTCATGAGCTGCTCCAGGAGCTGCCCATCCTCCACCAGGGCATGGGTGCCCGTGGCGTACACCGTGGCCCCCTCCCGAACCACCACAGGCGTGTTGGTCATGCAGCGGATCACCTTGGGCGCCGGCTGGAACGCCATCAGCTTCTGCAACAAAGAGGATGACCAGGCTAGTAGATGGGACACAGCTGCTCACAAGCGCCCCGCCATTCACAGCCCCCGGGGCCACCCTTCCTCTCACACACCTTACCTTCTCCACAGAGCTGATGGTGACACCGGCAGCACAGGAGACCACAATATGCCTGGCCTGGACATCAGCCCCGATCTCATCCAGGATGAAGGGGATGATGTGCGGCTTGACGGCCAGGAACAAGACGTCGCTGTTACGCACTGTCTCCTTGTTGCTTCGAGTCAGGTTCACGCCCATCTTCTGTAGGAGGAGACATCCGGGAGTTGTTTGCCGGCAGCAGCACACTCAGTCCCCATGAGGGGCAGCCGAGGTCTGCCAAATCCACAGCCAACGCAGCGCGGGATTCCTGCCCTTGCCTGTTTCGGTCAGGCCCTGCCCCAATTGGCACACTTTCCCACTGCTCAAATGCAAAACAACAACAAAAAAATACCCTCATGCCAGTGAGTTGATTCTGATTCATAGTGACCCTACAAGGGAGAGTAGAATTGTGGGTCTCCAAATATTTACAGCGGTTGAAAGCCTCATTTTTCTCCTGCAGAGGGACTAATGGGTTTGAACTGCAGACCTTGGGATTAGCAGCTATGCTACCAGGGCTCCAGGCAAATGAGCCAAGAGCTGATCGTGACATGCTTTCTCAGGGTAACTGAGTGGCTGTCTTCTGATCCCTATCAAGCCTCAGGCACTCACAGGGCTCTGTCAGGTAAGAAGCCTCTGTAGTTGGAAAGAGGAATCCTGGTGGTGGAGTACTTTTGCATTGAGCTGCTAACCCTGAGGTCAGAAGTTCAAAACCACTAGCAGATTCCAGAGAGAAAGATGAGACTTTCTGCTCCCGTGAAGAGGCCCAGTCTTGGAAAGCCACAGGGCCAGTTCTATACCCTGCCCTACAGGGTCTCTATGAGTCAGAATTGACTCAATGGCATTGGGTTGGGTTTGGGTTGGGTACTTGGAAAGGAGTATAAGCAATGGTAATGTGCCAGGGACTCTTAAGAGCTGGGTCAGGGACTTTGAATCCTTGCCAATGCTTGCCCACAGCCTCTGTGTGGTCACAGGGCCGGACTGCTGGAGAACAGCCACCTCTTGAAGATTCCAAATCCGAAGCAGGGCCCTGCTAAGCTAGGCTCCTCTCCCCACCCTAGACTCAGGCTTTCCCTGTGCCCCGCCTCATTAGGCATCCTCTCCCACACTAGGTAACATACTGCTTAGAAAGGAGAGCAATTAACTAGCCAGTTTTCTCCTAACATGCTCCTTCACACCTCCAAGCAACTCAACAAAGTGGCTACTGTCTCTAACAAATGAGAAAACCAGCCTACGGGCTCTTAGGTCCAGGAGTGGATCAAAAGAGGGAAAACAGGAGTTTCTGGGGTGGTGCTAACGGCCTGACCCCGCCCTGAGCTGCGCTGGAAGACAGGTCTGGCCATCCACTTGCCCTTCCCCGCGGGCACACCTGGGGCGTCTCCATGACTGGGAGTCAGCTCCAAGCACCTGGCTTTTACCTGGTGATCTTGCGTCCCTGACGACCTCCGTCACCCCACCCACTGTCTGAATTTGAACCCAGCCCGCCGGCCTGAGTAATCCCCACCACACCGAGCTGCCCCCAAGAAGCGGGTGTCGGCTCTGTGATGCTCCCGGACGGTGGGTCCGTCAGCTGGTCAGTGGCTCAAGTGCGACCATTAAACCCTGCTCCTCGTAGGCCACCCCTCTCCTGGGTCCCCGCACTCGTTCTCAACACGCGTCCAACCCCGCGTACCCTGAGCACGGACACCGTGGGCAGATCCATCTCCGGGGAGCTGGCTATGATCTTGTGCGTGGACAGGATGCCTGCAAGAGAGAGGGCTGCGTCACCAGCGTTCGCCTTGCTTTCCTGGGGAAAAGATTCGAACCCCGCGGCCCCCAACAGCGCCAGCCCCCCTCCCGCCCGCCCCCTTCACTCCTTCCCGCGGACGTAAGGAACGTCCATTTCTTCCGTTCGTTCATCCATTCTCCCGGGGCGACGGCCGCTCACGCCCTGGGTTTAGGGGGC